GCAGACTCTCAGCCCAGCCTACCTCACAGGGTTGTTGTTGTGGGGATAAGATGGAGGAGGAGAGATGATGTAAGCTGCCTTGAGCCCTTTGTAGGAAAAAGGCAGGATATAAATCCATAAATAAATAAATAACAGCTCTGCCGACTTCCGCCGCGCGACTCGCAGGCGCTTCGGGAACGGGTCCGGCCTGGGAACTCCCCGAGCGGAGCAGCCCCGCTTTCCCCGGAAGCAGCCTCGGTTTTCCTATTGGGCGGACGGTCCCCCTGCCTGCGGCCAATCCGGCGCTTGGCGTGGCTCCGCCGAGCGAGGCGATCGTGCCACTTCCCGCGAAGTCCGCACTCGCCGCGGCTCTCGCCATGGCGCGGCGCTCGCTCCTCGTCCTGCCGCTGATCCTGCTCCTCCCGCCGGGCTGCGGCTCCGGTGAGTCCCGCGGGCGCGGGCCAGCCTCGGGGTGGCTGATCTGGGGCGGTGGCGGCGGGGTGGCGGGCGCGCGGAATTTAAACCCTGCTCCGGACATCGGCGTGGGTCTGGGGCACTGCGATTCCTGGAACCACGCTAATGATAGCAGAAAGCAGCATCAAGGTTAACAAAGCAGAGCTAACAGGAAGCAAAATGCTAGGAAGCAATTCCTTGGAAAGCAGGTGTAATGCGAGGAAGCAGAAAACAGTGGGTCAGAAGGAAAAGAAGCCAGCGCGGAGGGGGAGAGCTTTTCGGCTGACGGTGCTGCCCAGGCTTTCTTTTGGGCTTCGTAAAAAGCTTTCAGGATCCGCCCCCCGCGTTCGAGATTTTGCTCTGGGCACCCCCGCAAGACGGCGGGGCTGTCACTTTTTCGTTGTGCGGGATTTTGGGAGGCGCCGCCTAACATCCCGAGTTTTCCTGCCTGGCCCGGATGTTTCTGGCCGGCTGCCTGGAAGGGAAAGTGGACGAGGGCCCGTGAACTGTGTGAACCCGGGCAAGGCGAGGCAGAAGCGCTGTGAGCAAGGGAGCCCCAGTTCCAGGGAATTAGCCGGCGACCTGTCCCGGGTGGGTGGGCTTCCCCCGAAGGCAAGGGGTGTCCGCTGCCGATGCGGAGGCCTGGGGCGCCTTTCCCAGCTCCGGTCCCAGGGTCCTGGATCAGGACAGCTTGGTCCCGGCGAGGCAGGCCTTGCTAAGGCCGACTCCGGATTCTAACGAGGCCCGCTTTGCTAGGGTGCGCCTGGCCCCGAAGCCGGCACAGGCCTCTCCTTGGCCCGCAGTGAGCGTCAGGCGGGAGCAATCCCGGTATTGGCGATCGCTGAGCCTCCCGAGCCGCGCCGGCTTACTTTGCTCGGCTTGGGAGCGCTTTGCAGGCGGCGGGTCCCTGCCAGGAAACTCGCGGGGCGGAGTCGCTTCGCTTTCGTAGTTCTCTCCCCGATCGCAGCCGTGCGCTGCGTCCTTCGCCCAGCAACCGCGTTCGTCGCGGTTTTCCTGACGGCTGAATATAATCCCTCGGCCATTTCCGACTCCTCTCGAGACTCCCGGTGAGGGGCGATCCTGCTACCCACGCAAGTGGGCTGTGCTGCGGCGGAGTCCGCGCTGGCTCCCGCGCTGCTTTTGCGCCCATTCCTGCAGCTGCTGCTGCACCTTCAGCCCTGGGGAGTCCCCAGGGAGTGGAAAATCGAGCAGGGGATGGAGGGTGGGCAGGATTTGACGCCCATGCACGTCTGTGTGCAATGCACTCCTTGGGACTGTGCTAATAACCGTAACTAGAATCAGAAAATAGTGCAGGAATGACCATGAATAATGAAATGGATTATAACACAGGAGATGTAGCAGAAAAATCTGATCAAGATGAAGATGCAATGCAATACTAATAGTAACAAGAAGTATATATTAATGCCAGAATGCATTTCTGTAGGATTAATGAGAAGCTGATCTCTATCACCATAAATTATATGCAAGGAGGAGAAAATTAAGCCAATGAGCATGAATGGAAATTCTTGGCTGAAAAGCAGTCCAAGCTTTGCCTTTGAGTGATGCAGTTGGTGTAAAACCCTCCTGGATCTGTCCTTCCTGTCCAAGATTTTCCTCAAAGCAGTGCCACAGACACTGGGTCTGCCACTTTCTGGCACTTCAGTAGGTTTGGGGGGATTTCAGCTGGAAATCCCAAGTTTTCCTGCCTGGGATTCTGGTTTCTGGGTGACTGCAGAGCCAGGGTGCTGGGAGGGGAAGTGGATCGGTTTGCCCAGTGAATTGCGGGGAGCAGGTGTTGTGCTCGCACGTTCTGGAAGACTTCTGGGGCACGCATGAGAGGCGACTGTTTTGGCAGGGCTGACAGCTCAGGCCCTGATAACGAGAGGGGTGTTGGAATGGACCCGGTTCCAGCTGCGGTCCGAGGCCCTGTTGCCCACCTGTGCCCGCTGTGGGAGGGATGAGTTCAAGGGCAGCCAAGGGGCCCAGTCAACCCACCCGTGGGAATGAGGAAGAGCAGCAACATCCCGAGGGAGAGATTTGGAGATGGGGAGTCTATCGGCTGGGGAGCTCCGGCCTCCTGAGGAGGTGGTCCCCACAGTCCGTCATCACAGTTGTTGGGCGGCCCAATTGGGGTCCCAGAGGGTGGAGCACAGGTGTGCCCGGTTCCACAGTGCTGCTCCACCCAGGGACAGATGCAGAAGAATTCATAAGGACTTTGGATGAAGGATGCCAGAGAAGGTTTGAGATTTCACTTTGTGTATGCTCAGAGACTCACATGTAAAATAAAGATGTTTGGCAAGAAGTGCAGATGAGACTGTTACTGCTGGGAGGGAGAAACTTGGCTTACAACAGTCAGGTATGGGAAAGAGAGCTTGCAACACGTGTTGGTTCCATTATTGGCCTCGCTCCCCACTGACATGAGCCAGGCGCCTTCAGTGTTGCTCTTTAAACATCTGCTCCAAACCCCACTGGATCGCAGTGGTCTGCCTGTGATCACTTTACTGTGCTTTTATTTCTGTACTTTGTGTTCCCGTATCATCTCTAAAGCACTGTAATGTTCCACTGAAAAGCAGTAGCAAACACAGAATAAATCTTCAGGTGCATTGAGCACATCGATGGGGAGGGGTGTTCAGGCCTACAATCCCAGCAACTTTCTGGCTCCGCTGCTCCCGCTGATGCTGGGAGTGTGGGGATGCGTCGCTCGCCAGCGGTGTGGCCTGGGCCAGTGGAGGGGAAAGCTGCTCTCAGTCATACGAAGCCCCTCTTCCTTTTGGCCACTCTGGGCATGGGGCTTAGCGGCCTTTAACTTAACTGGGGCACAGGATGTCATGCAGGTTTGGTGGAGGCGCTACACCTTGTTGGATGTTTACCAAACCCAAGAACAGGCCCCATTTATACCCACTGATGAGCAGAAGGGGTTTGGATGGCACCCCATAGCCCCTAAGGCTGGCCTTCCCCCTTTTCCTTCCTCCCACCCAGGTGGGATGCGCTTCCATCCACCCCCACAGCTCCATTTTCATCTGCAATCTAACTCCCTGCTGCAAACTCCACTTCCTCATTTTTGCATTAAATAATTTTTCTTTCTTGTTGTGCTGTCCTGCCTTGCTTCCACATCAGCTTTGCTCTCTTCTTAATTCCTCCTCCTGGCCTGCTTCTTGAGGATCTCACTTTCCTCTTAGTATTTCTTTATTTTTAAATTTCATTTCTGTACTACCCCATACCTTAAGCTCTCAGGGCTAGTTTACTACCAAAGGGGATTTATTCTATGACTATATAAAGCTTCTCTCTCTCTCTCTCTCTCTCCCTCCCTCCCTCCCTCCCTCCCTCTCTCTCTCTCTCGCTCACACACACACACACAATTAATTGAGCCTCTCCAAAATGGAAGGTGCAAGGGGATGGGCGGATCTTTAAAACCCTGGAGTTTGAAGGTGGGTTCCCCATTTGTTTGCAGATCCCCCTCACTGTTGTGAGCCGAGATGCCTTCTTCCAACAAACAACATCCACATTCCTTTTCCTTGCCAACATTCTTCATTGCTTCCAGTACAAATCACCCAGAGCGGTTCTCTGAGCATGCACAGAGCAGTGTGTTGAACCCCAATCTAGCGATTACCTCCAGCTACCCTTCTTATGAACCTAGCTGTGTCCCAACCTTTGGGAGGGGTCTCTGGAGGCGAGCGCACCTCCTCTCCACACACTGCTCATCTGATTGGGTCTCTCACCCCTGCGGGCACCTTGCCATGGTGTTCCGCTCAGGGCTGGTCCACAGCTGGGCCCGTACCACTGGATGTACACCTGGGTCATTCCCAGGAATTGTCTAGTTGAGCTAATCTCCTCCTCCTCCTCCTCCTCACTCATCCATGCTCTCCAGGCTCACTGAGACATTCCTCACCCTCCAAGCTGGAATCAGCTCCTATGGTGTGACTAGTGGCCTGTGGGAGCACTTGCCCAAGCCTGGCATCCCTCTTGCTCCCAACACTTAACTGCTCTGCTCGCTCCCCTCCCAGACTCCTCCCCCAGCATCTTTCGCACAGTCTACACGGCTGTGTCTGAGCCTGGCCCAGGGCTGCCCCAGTTCACGGCTGCGGCGTATGTGGACGACCTGCCCATTGCTCACTACGACAGCGACACGGGGAAGGTCTGGAATCGGGCCAAGTGGATGGAGAAGTTGCTGGAAGTGCATCCTGAGTACCAGGCCAAGTATGAGAAGATGCTGCAGCGGGATAAGGCCGACTTCACAGCTGGGCTGGGGGCTGTGCAGGCAACCCACAACCAGAGCGCAGGTGAGCGGAGGGTGGAGGGACTCGCTGCTGAGGGGGGTGCTGGCTGGGGGCCCATTCCCGGGCTGGCATGCAGGTGAAGGGGAGGGGAAGCTGTGGGAGGGAGGTCTAGGAGTTAAGGATGGCCGAGGAGCTGCTGCAGAATAAATCCCTCCTAGAAGAAAGCAAGCCCATTATTCTGCCCACACCCCAGTAAGCAATGTTTCCTCCTTCCCACATATACACACTTTTCTTTCCCGCTCTAGTAATTGTGCAGCTGAAACTGCAAAAGAGAGACATATTTGAAAATCTCTGCCAACATGACTTAGAGCTCTTGGTCTGCTGCCAGCAGTTCTCCTTGACTTCATAAAAGGCTCTGAGATGATATGAAAACAGAAGCAGGACGCGTGTGAAGCAGAAAGAAGGCCAGGCGACAGTGACAGAGTATGGGGAGTTAACACGGCATTGCGGGGGTGGCATCAGGAAGGGGAAAATGAAGAATGTGCTGAGGCTAGAGCGGGGTGCTAAAAGCAAGCAAAAAGCCTTCTTCACCTGCATGGGAAAGACGTGCTGCTTCAGCTACTCAGTGAAAGATGACAAAGAAAGGGCAGAAGGGCTTAATTCCTACCTTGGCCTGATCTTCTCTAAAAAGAAGGTCTGTGAGTTTCCTGGCCAAGGTGAAGAGGCAGGATCACAGCTTGGGATTGATAAGCAAGCAATCATGAATACCTCATTCCTGTGACTGAGTTCGGATCTCCAGGGCCCGATGAACTCCATCCCAGAGTCATAAGGGCCTTGGAGCTAATGGAAGAACGCTCAGAACTGCTCTCTGTTATCTCTGAGAAATCATGGAGGGCAGGAGACTTGCCAGATGACTGGAGAAGGGCTAATATCATCCCCATCTTCAAGAACAGAAGAGAAGAAGAACCTGGGAACTGCAGGGCGGTTGGTCTGAGATCCCCCCGGGAAAATCCTGGGGCAGATTCTAGGGCAGCCAGTCTGCAAACACCTTGAAAGCAGTGCATTGAGGACTAGAAGCAGTGCAAGAACGAACGCAGCCAGACGGCTCTGATCTCGCTTTTTTGATCAGGTAGCCTCCCTTGCGGACTGTGGACAGAATGCATGTTGCCTTCAGCAAAGCTTTTGTTATCCCAGTTGACAAACTAGCGAAATGTGGGCTAGATGCAGTCAGGTGGATCCACAGTTGGCTACAGGATCAGACTGAAAGAATGCTTATCAATGGCACCTTCTCAAACTAGAGAGAGGTAACCGGTGGGGCTTTGCAGAGTCCAATGCAGGGCTCAAGTGCTATTTAATATTTTTATTAATGACTTGGACAGAGGTGCAGGGAATGCTGATCAGATTTGCAGATGACACAAAATTGGGTGGGATAGCTAATACTCTGGAAGACAGAAACAAAATTCAAAGTGATCTTGATAAGTTGGAGCACTAGGCCAAAATCAACAGAAGGAAATGTTGTTAGTCACGAAGTCACGTCCGACCCATTGCAACCCCATGGACAACATTCCTCCAGGCCTTCCTGTCCTCCACCATCCCCCGGAGTCCACTCAAGCTCACACCCACTGCTTCAGTAACCCCATCCAGCCACCTCATCCTCTGCCATCCCCTTTTGCCGTCTATTGTTCCCAGCATTAGGCTCTTCTCCAGGGAGTCCTTCCTTCTCATTAGGTGACCAAAGTATTTGAGTTTCATCTTCAGGATCTGGCCTTCTAAAGAGCAGTCAGGGTTGCTCTCCTCTAGGACTGACCAGTTGGATCGCCTTGAGTCCAAGGGACTCGCAGGAGTCTCCTCCAGCACCACAATTCAAAGGCCTCAGTTCTTCAGTGCTCAGCCTTCCTTATGGCCCAACTTTCACAGCCATACATTGCAACTGGGAAAACCATAACCATGACGATATGCACTTTTGTCGGCAGGGTGATGTCTCTGCTTTTTAGTATGCTGTCTAGATTTGCCATAGCTTTCCTCCCCAGGAGCAAGCGTCCTTTAATTTCTTGGCTGCAGTCCCCATCTGTGGTGATCTTGGAGCCCAGGAAAATAAAATCTGTCACTAACCCATGGACAGTACCAAAAGGCAAAAAGAAGGAACTGTAATAGGGACAAATGCCAAGTCCTGCATCTAGGAAAAAGAAACAAAATGCACAGTGACCAATGGGAAACTATTTGGCTCAATGATACTGTAAGCCAGCAGGATCTCGGAATTGTAGATCATAAACTGAATCTGAGCCAAAAATGCACTGTTACTGCTAAAAATGGCAAATGCTATTTTGGGCTGCATTAATAGGACTGTCACTTCCAAATCATATGAAGTCATGGTTCCACTTAGCTAGCACTGGGTAGGCCTCATCTTGAATACAGCATCTAGTTCTGGGCACTGCATTTTAAGAAAGATACAGACAAGCTGGAAAAAGTGTGGGCAAGAAAGATGAAAAAAGAACATGTACAGGAAGTGGAAGCAGGGCCAGGCCACAACTGAAGAATTTAAGCAAATAGCAAGTAATTGCAGGGACAGCATCAGTAAGTGCAAAACAGGAAATAGCCGAGAATAGCAAGGGATGCAAAGAACAACAAGAATGCCTCACACGGGGCAAATTATCAAAAAGTGGACTAGAGAGAGAAACTATTATGTGGATCCAAAACTGGCTGCTAAATCAGACACACAGAGTGCTCATCGATGACACCTTCTCAGATTGGAGGAAGGGAACTAATTTCAGTCCTGGGCCCAGTGTTCTTCAGCATCTTTACTAATGATTTAGAGGAGGACTTACAAGAAATGATCATCAGATTTGTAGATGTGATAACCCTACAGATTTGTAGACTGGGTGAAATAGTGAACATTCCAGAAGACAGAATTAAGATTTCAGGGTGATCTCACTAAATTTGAATGCTGAGTGAGTCACTTTTTTCCTCAGCTCCACACAAACTTGCTGAATCCCTCCTCACTATCATTTCCAAATCAACTCTTGTCCTCTGAGCTTATTCGCCAGCCAGTCAAAATGGCATTCACCCGGTCCCATGCAGAAATAGTCAAACTGCTTCCTTCTCTTTGCCCTCCCCTTCAGATGGTTACTAAGCAATTTCTGTGCAGGCCTTTGACAGTAACAAAGCAAGGCCTCACCTCATGCCTGCTCGGATACTTCATCGCCTCCGACCTCTCCGTTCTCACCATTCCACCCCCAAGCACAGGCCTGGGATGCAGAATGTTTTGCAATCCTCTTAGAGAAAACAGCTTTCCAGGTCCTATATGCTGATTTTTTGCCAAACCAGCTCTTATTCGGGATAAAGATGCTCCTGCATCACCTCAGCGTGAAAGCACTAGTCATGATTGATTATTCTAATGATAATCTTCCTATTTTAAGCAGCCACATTTTCTGCCTTGGGGATATAGCAAAAACCATCTGCCTGAGCTTTCCGGAACTGGATATGTGGGGTGGAAGGGGTGTGGGTCTGGGCCTGCTTGGATGTGCCCCAACTCATGGGTGTCTTTCAGGATTCCACACCTGGCAGATGATGGCCGGCTGTGAGGAGAACAATGGCAAGCCAAGAGGGCGGTATTTGCGGTTCGGCTACGATGGGAGGGATTTCCTCAGCCTGGATGTGGAGACCTTCAACTGGACAGCAGCAGATGCCATGGCCCAAATAACGAAGAGGAACTGGGAGGCAAACCCCAGCGTCACCCAGCGCTTCAGGGACTACGTGGAGGAGACCTGCGCAGAGTGGATCCAGGCCGAGCTGGTTCATGGCAAGGAAAGGCTGCAAAGGAGGAGTGAGTCCAAAAGGGAATTGGAGAGCTTTTGGGACAGCCATTCCTTCATGTTCTTCCCTCCAAAATTAAATACATTCCTGGAATGTGACCAGGTTGACTTTGTGTTGTTCACTAAAACTAACATTAGATTTCATAAATCATGAATAAGAGCAAAACGAGAAAACGATGGATCATAGCTCCCAGAAAACAAACAGTGCCCATCTGGCTTGCACCCCTTGAAAGGAGTAGCCACAATCAGTCGCCTTTTGCCTTCACTTTGAGACCCCAACCCTGAGGATCCCCTTCTGTTATTTGTCCCGAGTCCAGATAAAGTGAGTTGGGCATTTTGGAAACTAGTCAAGTTGCTGAGGGTGGCTGGCAGAACCTCTTCCCTGGAATTTTTGGGGGTCCTGCAAGTCTAAATTATTGGATCTTTGGATCAAGGGTAGATGCCCATATTAGAGAATTTCCTTGGGTTTTTTTCTGCCAGCTGCTGAAGGGATTCTGTATTAACATGGCCATTTTTACAGATCCTCCAGAGATTAAGGTGACTCAGAAGGAAGTTCATGGAGGCTTGGAAACTCTCATCTGCGTGGCCCGCGGCTTCTATCCCAAAGAGATTGACATGGCGTGGACCAGAGACGGGAAGGTCTGGGTGCAGAACACGTCCCATGGGTTTCTGACCCCATTCACGGAGAGTACTTACTACTACTGGCTGGGCATTAAGATTAGCTCAAAGGACAGGATGCACTACCAGTGCCGTGTTAAACACGATGGCTTGCAAAACACTCTGGACAAAGCCTGGAACGAGTTTGAAGGTGAGATGCTTTGGAGGGGGGGCTTCCTTCTTGGAGCATCCTGGGAGGGAGGGGAATTTTTCCACAAGGAGCAGAGAGCCCCGAGGAACATGAAGGGTTGCAGTAGTAATTCTTAGTTGCATCTTCTGGGCAGAAAGTAACTGCTCTTGCTGTTGGGATATTTAACACCCCTCTCGTCCCTTTGAGTGGCAGTCAGTTGTTGAAATGCCTGATAGAGAGAAATGTGTTTGGCTGGTGCTGGAAGGAGATTAATGTTGCATCAGGCAACTCTCTGGGGAGCCTATTCCATTAGTGGGGGGCAGCCACCAAAAAGGCCCTTCCATTTGCCACCCCCTCACCTCCTAGAGGAATGGCTCTTGCCTATATCTTAATGGGCAGCTAGTATATATGGGAGAAGACAGTCCTTTAGGTAGCCAGGTTCTAAGCCATTGAGGGCTTTTTATGTCAAAACAAGCACTTTTAATTGAGTCAGAGCACCCCTTCACAGCCCTTTGATTTGAGGTTGCCCTTTCCATCCTCCAACCCAGCAGTCATGTTGATTAAGCCACTCCTACAGTTCTCCTTTTGTCCACACTCTCCCTCCCAACTGCAAACTTTCCAGTTCTTTGCCCCACATTATTTTCCTTTCTTGTTTTCCAACCCTATTCTGTCCCCACCTTCCTCACCCACCTCCTTCCCTTGCCATCTGAGCCTGCTTCTTGAGGATCTCTCTGGAGCCGGCTGGAGCCGGGGATCAGACTAGATGGCCCAGGAGACCCCTTCTGACTCGCTCAGTTTCTATGTTTCTATTTATTTTTGTAATTTCATTTCTATACCACCCCACATCTCTTGGCTAGTTTACAGCTGAAGGGGACTTGTTCTATGACGTTAAACAGCCTCTCTCTCTCTCTCATATACAGAGAGAGAGAATGAGAGGAATGGATAAAGAGAGAGTGAATTGGGCTTCTCCAACTGGAAGCTGCAAGGGGATGGGTGGCCCTCTGAGGCCCTGCAGTCTGAGCCAGTGGATCCCACTTATTATTATTATTATTATTATTATTATTATTATTATTATTACATTTCTACTTACCAACTCTGCTGTCTCCCTCCCAGACTCCTCCCCCAGCGTCTTTCACACCATCTACACGGCTGTGTCTGAGCCTGGCCCGGTGCTGCCCCAGTTCATGGCTGTGGTGTTCGTGGGTGACCTGCCCATCGCTCGCTACGACAGCAACTCGAGGAAGGTCTGGTATGAGGCCAAGTGGATGGAGAAGTTGCTGGAGGTGCATCATGAGTACCAGCGCAAGTATGAGGAGATGCTGCAGCGGGATGGGGCCGACTTCACAGCTGGGCTGAGGGCTGTGCAGGCAACCCACAACCAGAGCGCAGGTGAGTGGAGGGTGGAGGGACTCGGTGCTGAGGGGGGTGCTGGCTGGGGGCCCCATTCCCAGGCTGGCATGCAGGTGAAGGGGAGGGGAAGCTGTGGGAGGGAGGTAGGAGGGAGGCCTGCCTGGAGCACGGCAGTTGGGGAGAGGAGCTACAGCAGAACAATCCACTCCTGGAATTACGTCCTGCTTCGAGTAATCACTCTGTGCTAAAAGAAGCAAACTCTCTGAGCAGACACAGTCCTGTTCTGGTCTGCTGTGATCAGTTTCACAGGTGCGACTGCCAAAGAGAAAGGCCCATTTGCTTTGCTGTTTCAGGCTCGCCATTCCCCCAGGGGCTCCTGTTCCCTCGCTGGCCGGCCCTTTTCTTTGGCATCTCCAAAGCCTCCCCAGAGCAGGTGCAAGAAGGGAGGGCTGGGCAGCCTCACCAGAGGCCAGATGCAGGGGAGGTCGGGCCTCTTCTGCCCCTCTGCAGACGCCTTCCGGGCCTGCAGCTCTGGAGGACCCCCTCCTTGCAGCTGGTGTGCTCCTTCCCACGGGGGTGGGTGGCCAGGCACCCTTCCCGGTCCTGACTTCGAGCAGAGCAGAGCAGAGCCACCTGGAGGGCGCTGCCCGGCTGGTCCAGGGCTGCTCCATCGGGCGGTCCCACCGAGAGCGGGCAACCAGGCAGGGCTGGCAGAAGCCTGCCAGTGGGAGAGTCGCTCTGGCATGAGGCCCCCAGCTGTGTCTATTCCCCGTCACAGACACTTATACACTAGCTGGGCTCCGCTGCGAACTGGGGGAAGACGGGACGGAGCACGGCCATCCCAGTGCTGCCAGTAAGGCAGAATGAGTTCGGGGTGGGCAGAAAAGACACGGCTGGGTGGGGACCTGCAAGGTCTGCGCAGTGCTCGTCTCCTCGCTGGGGATCCGCCTGGCCCCGTGAGAGCAAGCGCAAGGCCGTTGCCGTGCTGGACGAACAGGCGAGAGGACCGGAAGGTCCCTGCGGGGAAGATGAGGTGGAGAAGGGCTCTGAGGCACAGAGGGGCAACCGCGGCAGGGAAGCCAAGCCCAGGAGCTGGGGGAGCAAGTGCCAGCCGGGGAAGAACTGAGGGGCAACGGAATGAGGGAAAAGAAACTCCCGGGAAGAGGGTGAGAGGAGCAGAAGGAGGCGGAGATGCTCTGCCCCGGGGAGCTACAGAAACCTTTGAGGAAGGGTAGCAGCTGGCAAGAGCTGAAGGCCAGGCTGGCGGCGGCAGTGCGAACATCGCCCGTGAGAGAGAAGCAAGAGTTGTGCGAGGGATGGGGGCCCGTGTGGGCACGAAGCCCCTCGGCCTCCCCAGAGGACACCTCCTGGGCTGCTGATGGCCATGGAGCCAGCGGCTGGCCCCCCTCCCGTCTCATCCGTGTGGGGACAGATGGGACGGCCCAGTGGGGCTTTGAGGATGCGCGTCAGATGCTGAAGCTCGGGGAAGGAAGTGCAAGGAGCTCATGAGGACCGGGGGGCCTGCCTCTGGCTTTGCCTGAACCTCGGGGGGCTGGATATGAGGGGGGAAGGGGTGTGGCTGCCCTGCCCTGATGTCCCCCCGACTCGTGGGGGTCTCTTTCAGGGTCCCACACCTGGCAGATGCGGGCCGGCTGCGAGGTGGGCCCAGACAGGCGGAAGGGGCAGTACCTGCAGTTCGGCTACGACGGGAGGGACTTCCTCAGCCTGGAGGTGGAGACCTCCCACTGGATGGCCGCCGACGCCACGGCCCAAGTAATCCAGAGGAGCTGGGAGGAAAGCCAGTACATCACCACCCGCTTCAAGTCCTACGTGGGGGAGACCTGCTCCCAGTGGCTTCGGGCCGAGCGAGACCAGGTCAGGGAAGGATCCCAAAGGAGAGGTGAGGCCGCGGAGGAAGCAGAGCGGCTTGGGGGCTGGGCTGCCACCCCAACCTGGCTTTTTCATTAACTTTCCAGGATTTTCCCTTCCCTTCCCTTCCCGTCCCGTCCCGTCCCGTCCTTGTTGTTGTTGTTGTTGTTGTTACTGTTGCACACAGAAGCACAGAGTTCCTCCCCAGCTGGGGAAATATGCAGAAACACGCCCCCCGCCCCCGAGCAAGCACCTGCTCAGCCTCTTGTTGAGCTGGGCCAGTTTGGATTGCTGAGTCCCCCCTCCAGTTTGGAGGCGGCCTCTCTCTGCCTAGGCCCTGCTCTGGTCTGGTGAAGCCCCCCAGCCTCCCCTCCCCTCCTCCAGCTTCACAGAACTGGCAGGCCAAAGTTCCTCCACCCAAGACTGTCCCTGCCTTGGGGGCAAGATTCCTCCCCTTGCGTGGGGGATCCCCCGGTTCCCCTTTCCAGCCCCAGCCCCTGACTGGCTCGTCTGCAACGGGGGGGGGGGGGGTGATTGCAGAAGGGGAGGCAGCAGTGGGGGCTGCAAACATGCCAGGAGTTCTGGGGAACACCCAGGCTTCCCACATATGCATGGCTAGGATCCTCTGGTCCTGCTGCCTCTGAAATTAAGCAGGGTAGCCACTCTTGGTTTTGCTCAATTTAAAATCAGAATGTTCCAAGCAAAGGTATCTAAACAGGTCCAAAGTGCTCCTTTTCCTTCTCACGCAGGCAGCTTTAAAAAGGCAGTGTAACAACAGGGTGCCCCTGGGCATGTGCAGACTACCCCATTGAGAGCACCACATTTTCTCTATAAATAAAAGCAAAGGGGAAAGGACAGACCCTCGTTCTTCTCTCTGGCTTTCCCTCCTTTTGTATTTCTGGCTTGGCCTGTAGGTGATCTGCTTGTTTTCCTCCTCCAACTAGATCTGCAGTGGAAGAGAGAGGCGGGACAAGCCGAATTTGCTTGCTGGCTAAAGACAGTATTAAACTTTATAAGAGGGGTGAAGCCAGGAAATGATTGATAATATCTCTGAGAAAGCAAAGAGTGGCAAATCCGGCATCCGTCCCATGGACGGAATAGGCAGGATCACCCCCCTCCCCCCTTGTCCTCAGTTTGTGCCGCTTGGGTTGGAGTATCTGCGATGGCACAGCTAAGCCGACCTTGTGGTGTTGGTTCCAAGCCCAGAGAAAGAGAGCCGGCCATTGCGGAATTCACCAAGCTGTACCGGGCGGTTGGCGGGACCCCTTTCTCGGGAGCGTTGCAGGCCCTGCAAGGGTTCCTTGTTCAGTCTCGACAGGATGGCCAGGGGAGGGGCCCTCCGTGGGGTTCAAGGGAGGCACCCCGGCAGCCGCTGGAGAGGGTCTCCGCTAACACAGGTGCCGGTGTTCCCCAGCACCTCCGCTGATGAAGGTGACGCGCCGCGCGGCCTACGAGAACCTGGAAATCTTCGTCTGCCGTGCCTACGGCTTCTACCCCAGAGAGATCTACATGAGGTGGACGATCGATGGGGAGGCCTGGGAAGAGGACAGCTTCCGCTGGGTTCTGGGCCCGAACTCTGACGGGACCTACTATGCCAGGCTGGACATCAGGGTCGACACCTGGAACAGGCAGCACGTCCGGTGCCATGTGCAGCACAGCCTCTTGCAAGGCCCTCAGGACTTAGTGCTGGAGGAGCCTGGAGGTGAGAGACTGCAGAGGGGGGTGGGAAGAGGGGGAGTTCTTGGAGCAGGGGATTCTGGGAGGGGAATTTCCCCATGAGGAAGAATTGGGGATAGAACCCGGAAACCCAGAACATGAAGCGCGCACAAGCGATTCCCAGCTGCACCATCTGGGGACGGGGTGTCCGATACGGATCTTGTGGTCCTGCAGCCCATCTGGGCGGTCGTCTACGGCCTTCCTGGGCATGAAGTGGAATCTGCAGCAGAGGCTGAAACTGACTGCCGTCATTGTGCCTGGGACAGATTTGCAAAGATTTGCATTATCTGCTGAATGTCTTCAGCAAAATAGGACGTGTGTAATTGTCTGTCTGTCTGTCTGTCAGTCAGTCATCAGCACCACCATCTGGTTTGTGGTTGTGAAGCCTTCTGGCTTAACCGTGGCTTAGTGCATCACCTGGGTTCAGAGGGGACACTATGCCATGGTGGGCTTAGCAAAGCCAAGGCCAGTTCATGGCCGCACCCCCAGTGAAGCAGGAGGTGTGCTCATGATGCACTAAGAGCATCCAGAGCATCTCTTCCGGTGCCCGAGGCCGGCCTTCCTCCTTTCCGTTCCCTTCCACCCAGCAGTCTTGCCCTTTGATCCACTCCCTCAAATCTCTTCCTCCGGACTCTTCCTCCCCACAGCAAATTCCCCTCCACACTCTTTGCCCCAAAGGATTCTCCTTTCTTGCTCTCCAGACCTATCCCTGCCCAGTTCCACTCCCCAACTCCTTCACTCCCCCAACCCACACCTGCTTCTTGAGGTCCTCTGTCCTCTCTCAGCGGTTCCTTATTTCTTAATTTCAGTTGGAGCTCTCTTGGCTTGTGCAATCAATATGCCCCCCCCCCCCCACTGAGAGATTGGGCCTCTCTGAATGGCAGCTGCAGAAGATGGGTGGATTTCAGAGATCTGAGGTTGTAGATCCCCCTTTCATGATTAAGGCCTTGGATCCCCCTTATCGGCTCCGCTCTCTCCCCTCACAGGCTCCCCCCGCAGCGTCTTCCGCACAACCTACACGGCTGTGTCTGAGCCTGGCCCAGGGCTGCCCCAGTTCACGGCTGCGGCGTATGTGGACGACCTGCCCATCGCTCGCTACGACAGCAACACGAGGGCGCTCCAGAGTCAGACCTCCTGGGTGAAGAAGATGCTGGAGCTGCATCCTGAGTACCAGGTCAACTACACCCAGCAGCTGCAGCAGGATGAGGCCGACTTCATAGCTGGGCTGAGGGCTGTTCAGGCAACCCACAACCAGAGCGCAGGTGAGCGGAGGGTGGAGGGACTGAAAGGGGTGCTGGCTGGGGACCCCCTCCCACCTGCCTTCCTTGCTAGTACAGAAAGGTTAGGAGGAGATGAGCAGCACCACTAGAGGCCAGATGAGCTAATAAGCAAGATAATTTATCAGTGGCCCTCCTGCCACTGTCCGGAGGACTGCAGGATAAGTTGTTTTCCTTGCTCTGACCTTGGAAATGCTTCCTAAGGCTGGAGCTGGGTTCCAGGTTTTGGCTTTTTTATGTGGTGGTGGGGGGGGGGGGCATCTTTGCAGCTGGCCTGGTTCTTTCCAAGGTGGGAGGGACCGAGCACCCATTCTAACTCCTAGTGGAGGAGAGCAGAGGATGCTGCCCCAGCTGGTCTAGGACCGTGCAAGCAAGCAAGTGAGCTCGCAGGGAAGGAGAGATGAGAGTGAGCAAACAGAGCTGACGGGACTCCGGCAGTGGAGTTTTGGTGAACGAGGACCCTGAGGGCTTTCTGGGTGGAAAATACAGTTGGGTTCCCAAGCCTGCTCTTGACTGGGTCAGGGATGCTGCTGCTAAATCCATCACTGCCACAGATGAGAGTTCAGCATCAGCTCTGAATTAAAGCCTGGTTTTGATTAAGGGGCTTTGGAGATGAAGAAAGAGCGCTTGCCGAGGCTGGTGGGGCTAGTCAGGTGGGGACACCTGTGCTCCGAAGTTCCTCTGACCCATATGTTTCTCTTTCAGGGTGGCACACCTGGCAGATGATGGCCGGCTGCGAGGTGG